TATTTAACACATTCAAAATATATATATATTCGCGTGATAATATGCAAGTTTAAGAAAAATGAGGAAGTAGGTAGTAGATAGTAGTAAGTAGAAAAATGAGTATATAATTAAATGCTAAAATGTATCTCAGAAACGTTTCGAAATACTTGAAAGTAAAAATGCATTATAATAAGTGTTGGCTTGGTATTAATATATTATAATGAATTGGTATATTAACATCATAGTGTAAACTGAACTACTGAACAAATAACTCCATAAGTTATCATTAAGATTCATTATATAATAGCGGAAATATTAAGGGAGACTACAATATATACACTGGCCATAACACCTTCTCTTCTTTCCATTTAGTGGTACACAAATCGACACGAAAATCATCTTTCTTGATATTCAGAGAGTAATAAAGAAAGACACTTGTATCATCAAATAGAAAGTTATTGAACTGTGTTTATAATATTCTTTGTTCACAACTTTATAAATTACATATGTATAAATTATATGTACAAAAACTAACTCATTTCACCGAGGCTCCATATTTTCCATATAATTAGCGGGATCCTTTATAGTTTTATTCTTTATATATTTTGCCATAATTTTACCAAATCATTAAAAAATTCTAACTAATTAATAATTAATTACTTCAGAAGAATCAGATCTTTTTTCCGTGAAAAAAATTGCTCAACATAATTTTCGAATTTCTCACGTCGATGTATTTTTCCCACGAATGAGCTTTTATAATTAGGAAGCAGCCTTGTCCCGATCGGAATCATGCAAACAGAAAAAGAGAGAAAGAAAAAGAGAAAGAGAACGCATTCACCGCGGATAACTTTAACGAGACTTAACGAGTCTACCCATACAAACGGCTTCAGCGATCATCATTCTCGCGTTCCGCCTCTCCCACACTTCCCAGATCTCTGTGATCATCATCCCGTCTCTGTTCTACGACGCAGAAAGTGCTGCTATCCATCGTCAATCCTTGGGACGTGAAGGTAGCCAGTGTTGATCCGATCGGACTGGCTGAACGACGGGGCGTCTCCCTGTCTGTCTTACCATCACCCTCTAATCAAGACGAGAGTACCAATCAGGAGTGGTCGACCTTAGGCAGGGTCCTCAAGATACCGTCACCTTGGTACAAACCTGGTTCTATTGGTTCCCCCGATCACGTCAGCTCCGTTAAATCCAAGGAATCGACGTTAATCGATCCCATCTGGTTGGATCCTTGGTATTCACCGAGAAGGTATCTACAATTTTCTATCGATAAATAATAAATAAAAAATTGAATTTATATATAAATTATTATCACTCGGTACAAATGAAATTTTGTAATATCAATACTCTTTTGACGAATAAAATAATTTTTTTCTTAAAAAAAAAAAATCTTACAGTTCTAAGTCAAACAATTTTCTTTTTTTTCTCTTTCTTTTTTAAATTTCATATATTTTTAAATTAAATTCTGTACAATCTTTAATTACATTAATATTTATTACATATCTAATATTTATTAATTAAGAAAATTTTTTGAAACAATTACAAACATGATAAAAAAAATATGTCAATAATTGATTGACGTAAATCAAAATCACCGTTGTAGTTATTAATTGTTTAATAATGGGATTCGTTGTATTTTGAAGGTCGCCTGTCAATAAAATTCACGATTCTTCATCACCGAATTCATCTAAGGAAAGATTACGAGGTAGCAGACAGAGAACCGGCGAGACAAGGTACGACGACGAGGCGGGCGAGGTCGACAATGAATTAATCAAGGCTCCGCAGGAAATTAGCCGCAGCGGTTTCGATGATGTGGATGGTACAGCGACGGTGCGAGTGCGTTTCGAGATCGACGGAGCGAAGCCAAAGCGGAATGGAGTGCGATGTGAGAACGAACGGAATGTCGATGAAGCACCGCGAGTGTTAAAGAAAAATCAGTGTGCGAACGATTCGAAACCCGAACGACGCGAACGGCGACCGATAGCGAAACAAAATCGCACAAGCGAAGTGAATGCCGAGAAAAGACAAGAGAACTCTTCGCGGCAAACGGATCGTGGTGTGAAAGTCGGTAAAGACGAGAAAGATGCGAATGACGAATTGGACTATTCTCGGATAAGCGGAGAGAACCCGACAGCGATTGTCGACATCGTTCAGCATTTGGTAGAATCCAGGTAATTACTGAAAATAATATGCACAATACTAACAGTATCATTTTAATATTTCGTTTTCATTCTCTTACTGTTTTAATTAAACCTAGATAGATGAGATAAAATAAATAAAAAATAAAATAAACACAAGAATCTCTAATATCTTCGAAATAATAGAATAACAGATTAAATAATTTTTACAAAATATCCAATATTCTTCTAATACTTTAATGCCACATCTTCACTGTACTCTCTCACTGTTCTAATTGCGAGAAAACCGCGAGAAAAATGAATTAGAATAAATTAAAAATAAAACAGAAGAAACATTAATGTCTTCAAAATTGCGAAATAATATTAAATAACTTTTATGAATGTACGATACCCAGTGAAAAATGATAATGGATGGAATCGATATCGAATTGACGTCGATTCGACATCGATATCATTACCATTTTTCATTGGATATTCTTTTAAATTCAATTATAAGGAAATTCAATTATTTCAATGAAAGGAAGGAAAAATGAAAGTAATACGAATTAATGCAAATTTTATTTTACAAAGCAAAACAATGTAATATCCCTTTTTGTTTCAAGATACAATCCACAAACCGTAGCGGAGAAGAGAATAAAAAGGATGCCATCATGTCATCGTCAAGAAACTTCGAAGGAGATAGATCTAGTGGGTAAGACGGCGGGTGTTATGCGTTAAAGTGTAGAACAGGTCTGCAATATGAAATGATTCGGAAGAAATTATGTTGGAATTAAAGCGAGATCTTCCGGTAGTTTAGGCTTGTTAGGGTTGTTTAGAATCAACCAATGTGCTAACCACAATACAGGATCGGCTGGTTTTTGCTTGCAACACTGTAAAGGGTGATTTATTTAGAATAAATCGTAGGATACTGAACTAAAAAAATTATCTGCAAAATATATCGTAAATTTTTGTCGACAAAAATTACTTTACCATTGTTAAACCTTTGACAAGAACCGGATTAATAGTTTCCCATAAAAAATCTTCAGCCATCTCGTCTCTTAACACAGGTTCAATTATGACTGAAAACAAGTTGTAAAGAAAAACAAAAAAAGATTTCTAATTTAACATCGAAATAATGTTAAACATTTAAGTATTAAAAAAATAAAATAACATTTTACATGTAGGAAAGAAAAAATGGATTTCTTTCTCGGCCTCTTCGTGATTGTAACTGCCATGGATAGCATTTTTTAAGTCATCTCCCTTGCGACCATATTTCGCTCGAATGCTGTCAGGAAAATACAAACGCGCTTCTGTTACCTGAAACGATTCTTAAAATAAATCAGAAGGAATTGATTTTTCAAGTATCATTTGAGAATTCTAATACGTATAAAATTTGAAAATAATTGGCAAACCGTGGTCGGTCCTATAATTCTTTTCCATTCTTCAATAGCGTTCTGTTTTGCTAATACGAATACTATAATAGATCCTGAGGACATATATGCCACCAAATTAGGAAAACTTAATTCGCCGAAGTGATTGTTATAAAACTCAGCAACTTGTTCAGGTGTCAGCTGCAGCCAACGAGTCTGACAAATCTCAAATCCTTCTTCATGTATTTCATTCTCGATTTCCTTTCTGTAAATCACTGCTTCCGGCTTTATTATGGCCAATGTACATTCAATTTCTGGTTCCTCTTCAACGATCTCCTTAATTCTGTTTGTCTCAAGAGAAACCGATGACAATTTAGAACTCTCTTCATCAGAATGATCACATTTTGTGGGACAAACAAATTTATACTGCAATTATCAAGTAACTGATAAAGGATATTCATTATTTGTTTACGACAAATAATCTTTACAAATAATTTTATTGTGTTTCCATTTATCGAAGACATTTCTAATTAATAACCTACTATTCTGTTTGATTCACTGGAAGATTGTGTATCTGTCGAAGTTTTCGTAAAATCGTATCTCATATCATTGCTACTGGACTGCACGGAATCGATTGACATCCGATCAGATCCATTGGGAATTGCATGTTCAAGGATATCTTTTCCAGGACGATACGGTGTAGGACACTTCGAAAAAAGAGTTACAGTTTCTGGACCGATTTTCTCAATAGTTTTATCGTGTTGCTTTTGCGGACAGTCACACATTTTTATCTCGCACACAAGCTACACTTTTTACAATTATTTCTATTGTGCTCGTTTAAGAAAAAGATTTGATTGATTGGCATATAATAAATAAAATTTGCCTATTTGTGTCATTTATGTTTGCGAATATAATGAAAGGTTATATCAAGCTCTTCGATATTTATTTGTTCTGCCACTAACATATAGTAAAAGCACTAACTTTTTTAAATTATTCCTGCAGTGATCTTTTTAATCTCCGATCGGCGCCGCTACTTCAATTATCGCCATGTTTTCTTAACGAGAGTTTGCTCTGCGATAAGTTAGCAAAGTTAAGAACATACTTGCGTAGGTGCATTCATTTTTAATGCTAATGTCATACGAATATTTATCCAGCGGTAACGGCTTTAAATTATGCAAATTTAAAAATTATACTATTAATTGTTTAATATTATTTCTACAAAATTAATTATTATTACGCTATGCTTTAAGGCGCTATGCTTAAGCATTTGTAATTTTTATTTAATTATTCTTTTCGATTGATTTTCAGATTCTCCAGGCAAACTGAGCGATAATGCCAACGTTGTTAATGCAGTCAAGAAAGAGAATAATCAAAAAACTTCCAACGAGACAACGACGGTGAAAGTATTACCGGAAGTGACATCACTACGCACTACGAATATAAGAAAGACAAGCATATCCATGCCCAGCAAACTCAACGAAATGGACGATCTTCGAATAGACAGACAAAACGTAAGTTGAATTATATTAGTATAAAGCGACAATATATAATTACTATTGCAATAATCTTTATTTTGTGAAAATTCATATGTTATATATGTCATTAATCCGAGGGATCTATCATTAAAACATATCAAGGAATTTTCATATAAGTACAGTATGTTGCCGATTCTGTTAAATTGATAATGATAGGCTAGAACTTGACAAAATTGGTAGCCAGTCGCGCGTCACTTAGCGACAATCACTCAGTACCGTAGTATAAGTTTTTAGCATTTCTCCCTTCAAATATTTCCTCTAAAATTTCATTCGTTGCCCTTTTGAAAGCATGTTTTTGCAAAACCATTTTAATTGCTGATGTTGAAAATTGTCGAATTCTTTCCTTTCCTTTTTTAATTTTATTGATAGTTGGTTCCGTTATACCATAAATCTCCACTATTTCTCTTCCAGATAATTCTTTGTCAAGATTTTCAATTACCTCCATCTTTGTTTTAATAGATAAATAATTCTTCGGCGGTTTCTTTCCGTTTGATTTCACATTTGTTTATTATGTATTTTATTTTGACATTGCTATTAATATCGTCGACATTTTCAAAAATGTTCGCACATACGCCGGTTCCAACTTCGCGAGTTCCCACCATGCGTTTATCACCTGTTGAAAGGAGAAAACTTGACAAAATCGAATTTGACAGAATCAATACTATAAATATTAGAAGAGGATGACGCAAAATATACTGACGACAACAGAAATATTCCTTATATATCAAAAGAAAAGGAGCTAAAGCCATTGCATGTAAAATTTTTAGTAATCGTAAGACCATAAAAAGCTATAAATTGAATGGTTACCGCGTCGAGGCAAGAGATAAGTCACGTGACTGTAATCACGAATGAAACATTATAACCTCAAAGCAGTGATCATAGTCATAAAATTCCGTTCCATCGAAAGATTGCAAGCTTATCAAGCAACGGGAAAACAATCACATGATTTATCACTTGTCCCAACGCGATAGCCAATCAATTTATTATTTTTTATGATCTTACGACTGAACTTTTACGTGCAATGACCTTTACACTTTACATGCTCGCCTGAAAAAGGTACCAAAAGTCATCAAACAATAACATTCCGCATATTTCTTATTCACTAACTAATCAGTATCATTTCCTCTAATAACGAAGACAACATTGTATTCTCTCTTTATTTTCGCACATTTGTGAAAAGAAGCTTCATGATCAACTTAATTTCAAGTGATTAATATACTACGATTTTTCACTAAAGAAATAATTCGATCTGTACTTCCGAATTATACTTGAAAGCTCTCTTAATAATAATAATTTAATAATAATAATTGGTGATTGTTCTACATAATCGAAGATTGTCATTTATAATTTTATGTTAACTTTATTATCGAATTAAGCATTTTACATTATATTGTATATTGCAAGAAAAAACGGAGAAAGAAATCAATAAGTGATATGGATCGGTATGAGTGGCACGAGACTGACGTCAAGGATCACAGACACAGTTTAATATATTCCTTGGAGAATGCCTTGGCTGTTGCTAAAAAAAGCAAATTGAATGTCATTCAGGAGGTGCGATTAAAAACAATTTGCAGAATGAAGGCCGATATTCATAGTCCATATCCTTATTTTAAGATAGTCTTATGTAAGACTAATGTCTAAGATGTTAATATGATTCTATGGTCGATATTCAATCGATTCTTATATTTTAAAACTATCTGATTAAAAATAAATATAATTTTAAAACGTCATGAACCAAGCAAAGAACCGTGTATATAATTAGCATCTTAAGATATTATTTAAAACGATCTTAAAATAAGAACACTATGAATACCACCCTGTACCTTTCCTAGTTTATAACCTTGATTTATAACATTTTAAGATTGTCTAATTATAAAGGTGATTTTAAATGTAAGAAGACTATGGAATATTGATCAAAGAAATCCAAAAATTCTGTTGATTTAATAAATATCACAGCAAAAATTAAAGAAAAAACCTTTAGACAAACATTATATACGAATCTTGTATATTAAAAATAATAAAAAATATAGTCTTCTTTTATGATTTTTAACGATAATCTTCTTTTACGATTTCCAACAAATCCAATGTTTCTTTCTATTAATCATCTACTACAATATTCATTCTCGCGTATCACTTTAGAAAAAAAACAAATTTTTCAACAATATATGTGTTACGTAACGTTTATCGTTTGCGAGTTATTTTGCAATATTCTACTTCATAAAAAAACAAGTTTACTCGACATGAACAGTAACATTGTTTCGCGATGTTATATTTTAGATTCAACTGTTTAAATTGTATTTTTTTATAATTTTTTACATTTTCTTTGTCCTTTTCCGTTTTTGAGATTTAATTATGTATCTTTTATTTTAAATACGCAAGATTTAAATAAATGCATTTAAATAAATGGTAAATAAATGGATTTAAATAAATACATTTAAATAAAGGTGAAAAGGTAAAATCTTTCATATTTATATATTATAAGATTTTTTTAGTTTAGCATCACAGATATTTGAGAAGAAACACAAACTTTCGATAAGATCAATAATCACGCGATGTATGATATCGATCATCAAGGCAATATATCAGCAATTAATCGAACTGCGTAACGTATTAATACTTGCATTCAAAGAGCATTGCCATGCTATGTAATTAGCGTGACGTTAATATTTTTAAAACAAAGATCAAAAAATGTCCTTGAATGATGTTTTGTTACAAAGAGATGGTACTGAGTGATACTGGTACTGACTGCCTAAAATATTCCATTTCTTGTTTGCTAAATTTTCCACTTGATATACGATACGTAGTAAACATTGCTGATAAAGAATGCATTTCTGAATATGATCGTTGTACTTAATTATTTATCGCAATTCATATGCTTAGCAATATTGTTTCGAATATTTCACATATTTCTGTTTGCAATTTTTCAGTATTCATTTGAAAAAAGAATGTTAAAAACAAGTAACATAAATCTAGATAAATATAAGATTCAATAAAATATTAATAGTAGTGATGTCTTATCGATGGTATTTCTTCACGGATCGAATGTCAATAAAAAATAATATAAACATTACACATTGCTCAATGCTTTAATAATCCATGTGGAAAGACGTAAATGAGCGATGACATAACATGTTTGCAATGACATGATCGACAAAGATAATTTATAGTCTCGACAATTAATCGACTATTTGATTTGTTTTATTGCACAGGTATTGATGTGGGTCAGTTATACTTATTTACCTGAATTTCGGATTGTGTTTCAGGGTATCGCTTCGAAATTTACGAGAGACGAGAGCGAGACCAGCAGCAGCGTGACTTTCAGTAACAGTGGCTCAACCCCGAATGAAAGTCCTCTGGGATCCGAAACTGAAGAGGAAGCAAATGATGAAGAATTGGCTAAGTAAGTGTTAGATTCGGATTGATTAAGAAACGAAGTGGAGAAAAGAATAAAGTTAAAAATCGACTCTGCGTTTATGATTTTGATTAGTTTATGATTTATAAATTTACGTCGGAGATAATGCCATACGGTTTCGATTAATTTAGTATTAGAATTTTAATTTGTTTAACGATAATTAAAATTGTTAGCGATTAATTGGCTTCAGTAGATTATTCATAGATGTGTATGTGCAGTTCATATATAATTCAAATGATGCTTTTCCATGAACTTTCAAGTCTTGAGTCGACGAATGATAATATCATAGCACAACATATTACATGCTGCTATGTTTGCCTTTCCAATAATGAGCTGGTTCGCACCTGTGTTAACCCGTTTCAATCGCTTAATAAATCTCTAAAAATGCTATCACCGAGTTTGAGATCAGAGAACCGAATAGCTCCGTGTAGCCTGCTCGCAGGAGACGGATATTTCGCCTGCAATTTTCTCTCGGTGATATTGCGCTCTAAATGCGCAATTTGCATTGTAACACCCCACTAGACACATACACGAGGTACTGTTTATCGTTCTCACTTGCGGTCGTCTTCTGACTAGGCAGATAAAACAAACGTACCTATCTGACAGTATTCACGGTCATCATAAGCATCATCAGGTCCGACCTTCCTTCATATCGCTTCAGGGTTATCGCACTATAAGAGTTGGCTCCCCGTAATCGTTGGTTTTGGCTAACAGTCGCCGCTCGAACGCAATTACAGTTTCCTCGCTTTTTCGTATACATATAATTGTTTAAAATTTTCTAATTATTTTTCGGACTTTTTGCAATCATATTGTGCATATTGAGTATTTAAAAATATTATGTTTGTAATTGTGATTTTTGCATCGAAAAAATGACGTAGTTCAAAGATTGTATAAAATATAAATTTAAAACCAATTAAAACATTGGCGAAGATATTAGTTCAATAATTCAATTATCAATTTATTATACACAATATCAGTTTATTAATCAATTAAAATATCAATATTTCTGCTAAGACGATAAAATGATCCCCAGATACGATATTGGTAGCGCTGTATCATTGCAAAGGTATATATCGATGATATATATCGATATCTTCCGAAAAATCTGAAATAAAAAAACTCATGGTTTATTTATTTAAGCCCACTTTAGTTAATCTGTAATTTTTGCGTCAGATTCCAGGATAGAATTTTATTTATAATGTTATACGCTGTGTATTTTAATATTCGTGTATTTATGCATTTTTTTATACCTATATATTTTGATTCCTTAATATTTTTTATATTATATAGCAAAATTATAAATTATTAGAATCTGATACAAGAGTTACGTTAAATCTATATCTTTATATGTAATCATTTGTCTTTATGATGTCACCCAGTCGATACCAATTAAAAATAATATCGATAGATCTGTTCGCGTTGCATGAACTTTTTGCGTTCAGTTCTTTATTTTCTTTATTTTCTTATGTCTGAACATATTATGTTTATCTCGTTATAAGTGTAGAAGTTTTTAAGGATTTTAACGTGAACAAATCTAATGTTATAATTTCTCAACAATGTAACTGTTACGTAACAACATATGTCATATTATGTTTATATTGTTGAATGCGAAATTGTAACATTGATGTTATATTGCTTTTAGATTGTCGAATGAATAACGATGAACTCAAAATTTTCTTTTGCAGAGTGCCACTGCAAGCTCCACCGCGAAGGAAAGGCAGAATCGTATCATCCTCAGTCAATGAAAAAATGGCAAACGACACGGAACTTTCGGGTGTGCAAAGCGCGACTTCCACGATAACCAGCGTGAATAGCATTAGCAGTCTTTTAAAGGAGAAATTGCAGTTATCGTTACCACAAGCATTGCGTAGCAGTGCAAGACGTCAGAATGCTGATTATAGGTAAAGCGATCGAAAGTCCATAATTATTTATCATGTCGAAAACTCGAAGTTTTATAGAATTTAAATAATAGATATATTGAAATTTTTAATAAGAACTATACATCAATTATTCGTATCTTAATGATTGTTTAAAGGCATTTAATAATTTTTTAAAATCATTTTTCTACAGGCTTAAAGCATTTGTTGGTATCTTGTTCCTCTGCATCGTTTTCCTTGTGGGCTTCGCTCACATTTATTACACTCAGCATGTTCTACAACGAGCTTATTTTGAGAAATTTAGGTGAGCACCCATTGTGATCGAAATATTACACATTAAAATTATATGTATTAGCACATTATTGAAGAAGATATTTTGAAGTCGACAGCATCGCTTGTCTACTCTGAAATAACTTTCGGTCGTTTGCCTCTGCCAGGAAGCGCTTAATGGAATACATTAAGGCTCATTTATCGTGCTGATCTCGTGCCAGTCTCAAAATGCGTATTCAATTGGTAATCCAACATGCACGCTTAACTTTTCAGGGGCTACATTATCTTAGAACCGTGGGAGGGAGATCTCAATACCGATTATTCAATATTTTACACAATAAATTTTTCTTTATCACTGTACATAGAGCTTGATAAATATAATGATATGAAATTATAAATTTCCTTTAATTTTTTTCATTATTTTTTATTCGAAGTTCAAGAAAGATTTCTCTTTAATAATTATTTATATCGATTTTCTTTTCAGATTCAATAAAAACGAAAGAGTGATGAGAGTCTACAGCAGTTCTGGAGCGGAGATCATTGCTGCTCGGCTTGGTGAGGGTATTCCACCAAATACAGGAGTATATCCTTGCCTTCCTCATCATCAACGACAAGACTCGGTCTGCCTTGAATGGCTACAGCAAACGCGGCTTTATCTCGCGCACACGAAACGCGAGGGTATGTACTGCTACCACGTCACCTGGCAAAGTTTAAGTCCTTACTACAATCCCAAGGACTGCTTCGACTGGTCTTCGAAGAGAGGCCATTGGTATGGCGCCGGACAAATACAGAACATGGTGTATCCTCTGGAACGCGGCCGCCTAGAGCTAAGCCCGTTTATTACGGGCGACGTGAGGAAACATCCATTTGGTAATGTGCTGAAGAGATATTTCCTGAATTCAAAGGGTGCTACAATCTTGGTGGATCCCGAAACACCGCTTTATGTCTCAATCAATGCTAATCGTACCAACGACTTTTGCCTTCAGGCGAAACATGACGCCTTTGCTTATATTAATCATTTGACGCCGCTACCTCAGCTTAACTATACTATCTGCGCGACCGACAACATGAAGAGTTTGCACTCCTCAATGGCGGAGAAATCTCTGTGGGATGGTTTGAAGCCCGATGAACTGCACGCTGTTCATTCTCTGCTGTCCGAACCAGTTTGGCAAATCTCACCCATCAATGAGGCGGCTATTTACAACTATACAGAAGATGTGATCGCGCTGGGATTCCTTCGTCAAGGGCATGTCCTGTTGAGTGAAGAATGGCAGCCCAATCCGGGTGATTTCATCTTAGACGAGGAACGATTCCCTTCTATGGAAGAAACTATCAATATTATTCATCGCAGAGGATTTAGAATAGTCTTCAGCATCCAGCCATTTATCTCTACAGAATCCATCAACTTCAAGGACGCTGTCGCTAATAGATTATTAATCTCTGAGAGAGGAAGCGATCCTAGGATTCCAGCGTTAACAAGGTTGTTAATCAAGAATTTATTTGTAAAAATTATATATATTTTTTTATCATGACATATTTTATAATCTAACCGTGAGACAATTTTAAAAAAAGATTTATATTTAATTTCAGGTACAAACAAAGTAATAGTGCCGGCGTGCTCGACATTACAAACAACAAGACCTTACCATGGCTACAGACTAAGCTCGAGAGCCTTATCATGAAATACCATGTCGACTCGTTCTATCTCGATTTGGGCACTGCCCAAAATATGCCGCATTACTACAAATGCGAGCAGCCTCTCACCAATCCTGACCATTACAAGACCATCTTTACCCGTTCGATACTAGGCACCATACCCGTAATCGGCGTTTCAAGCGCCATTTCCAGACCACGAGCACCTGTCTTCGTGTCTTTGCCTCCCTTTCCGTCGTCCTGGAAGGCCATTAAGACCGTCATTCCCACCGTTCTCAGTTACGGTATGATCGGCTATCCGTTCATCATGCCAGGAGCGGTAGGCGGCGATGTGGCACTCCCGATGTCAGACAACAATCCAGATAATGACTACGAAGTAGACCTACCAGATAAAGAACTCTACATCCGTTGGCTGCAGCTATCCACCTTTTTGCCCGTGATCCGCTTCACTTATCTGCCAAGCAAGTATTCAGATGAGTCGGTCTTGGAAATCGCCAAGAGACTGACTACTTTGCGGCAAAAAACGGTTACGCCATTATTGAAGAAGTACGCGAATGAGACTTTAGACACTGGTCTGCCTATTATCAGGCCACTCTGGATGTTGGATCCGGCCGATCCGGCATGCCACGTAGTGGTCGATGAATTTTCCGTAGGCGAAGAGTTGATCGTGGCGCCAGTGCTTTATTCCGGTAGCAGGCAGAGGGAGGTATATCTGCCGGCTGGAGTCTGGAGGGACGGTATCGACGGAAGTCTAAGGAAGGGCTCAAGATGGATTCACAATTACAGAGTAGCTGAGGATAAGATCGCATATTTCGTCAAAATGCCAGACAATACAAGATTCTGAAAGATACGATGTTCACTTCACTTTTTTACATCATGCGATGCAGGATAATGTCAAAGAATTTTGAAATCGATGACAAGATTTGCTCGTATGCAAAATGATCACGACGAACGATATATGATCGATTTGTCAGTATGACGATTATCTGCAAATTTTTATCGATTCCTCTTGATCCTTTATTAAGTATACAAGATGAACTTGTTCCTCAGTAAGTCCCGAAAGTGCAGAAAAATAATCGTGCATTAACAAATATATATCATTACGTTTAAAACGACAAGAATTTTGCAAATGCGATAATATATTAAATAAATGTTATAAATAAATTTAAAAATTGCTATTATACTAAATAAATATGAAATCAATATCGTGATCTTTGGCAGAGTGCAACAGGATTGTAGGGATAAATACTTAACGGCATGTAAAGCCATGAGAGATTTACACATACATTAGTTGAGATGCAATATTTAACAAGAATATATCGAAAAGATTTGATAATAAAAGTATCCAATGTTACTGTATTCTATGGATATGAGATTATTGTATCAACACTAGTATTATATTACAATGCATGTCATAGATCAAATATCGATACATACATTAAAAAAACAAGAATCAATTGTAGATTTAAGCTGTCAATTATATTTATTTTACCTAATAATGTGGTTTTACATCTCTACTTTTTAATAATCCATTAGTAAATCTGATTTATGTCATTTATAAAAAAAAAAGACATTTTTTAATGATATAAAAAAATAAAGAAGTGAATACAATTGATGAGAATGTATCTGAACGCAGTTTTATAGGGCGCACGGGGCTATTTATTTTTCCTCCTTTTTTTCATTACAAACTTACACGACATATAAAACAAAATACGTGAGCATGCAGAAGCGGGATACGAAACTGGTGCGATTCC